GATGCAGTTTTATTTTATTCTCTCTTGCTGTAAGACTTTATCAGTCTGTCATCTTTACTGATTGCTGGCTGAGCAGAAAGTCGACTCTCTGACAGATCACTGCTGATTCTCCTTCATGTGAGTTGACTGTCAACAAGCTTAAGAGACAAGTAACAATTTCAGCAAGGAGCTGATGTTACAGTTGCGTTGCAAGTACTAATAAACAAGTCTTTATCAAGTGAGAATCTGTTGACTGTCATCTCGTAAGATTTACATTCCTACACAGAGTGCTGGAATCTGACTAAGTACATTTACTCAAGTGCTACTTAGGTACAGTTTGCTCTTTCTTCAGTGTTTTTATCTTATGCTACTTTATACTTCTATTCCACTACATTTCAAGTTTACTTTTGCTGTACTTTTTTACTTCACTACATTTATTTAACGCTAGATTTACTTTGCAGATGAATATTTTACACACAACACATGTTATAATCTTATACAGTGGTAGAGGCTGAGGGTTAGAGGGGAAATCTGTCTTCAGTGGGACTGCTAACAAGAAATGTGACAACCAAGCACTGCTTTTAAGCAATGGATCACAAGCCAAAAGGTTGGGAACCGCTAATCTGTCAGTAAGAAGCACTGTACTTCCCTCTGACATGTAGTGGAGTCAAGTTATAAAGTAGCCTAAAATGAAACATGTAAGAAAGGTACAAGCACCTCTAATGATATGCTCAAAAAGTATGTAGGGCCTACTTTGTTACATTAAAAGCATTTAAAGTGGGTAACGCTTTTAGCAAGTATGACAAAAAGTTATTTTCTTTAATACTTGTCACTATATCCTGACATCGGTACATGAGGCAAACAATCTGTGACTGTGCCTCCTCACAGTAGTGCTAATGGCAAAAATCACAAAAACATTCAGAGCCAAGGAATCTCACACGCAGCTGTCAATCATGTCAATCACTGCTTGTGAACTGCAACTGTCAAACAAAGCAGCGCTGATCAAATATAAATCAAGAGTCTGTTACTGCATTGCCTGTTTCTCACCTTAAATGTTGGTAGAAATGTATTTCAGTGTACTGTTTAGCTGTGAAATGAGAACATTTGCTCTGGCAAAAGGCAGTGCTTCATTTTGGCTCCACTGTTCTCAACATGGCAGCCAGGTCACACACTTTCTCATTTTACAGCTTAAAACAGTACACTAAATATTGTAGCATCCCTTGACAATGAGGCTACAAGTCATTAACTCAATCTGCTGACTTTTTATTCCTTAACGTTAACACAAAAGATAGCCATAGCCAACGCCAAAACAACAAACCTGTCTGCTTTACAGGGTGTTCTCTGAATCAGTGGCTACATAAACAACTCCTGCTCCTCAAACTAGCAGGAACAACAACAACGCTCCCTCCTCAAACCTCTGCCAATCACAGGTGGGTATCTCACACAGATCACTGTCATAGGTGCTAGTAGTGATTGACAGACTTCACAGCGTCTAAAAGTACACAACTTCGCTGGGAGTAACACGTTCACTGACATTATGGAAAACTCAGTAACTGCCAGAACAGACCTTTATACTGTAGCTGAACATAACACATTCTTAACAGTGACAGAATCCATACAGTTAACATCACCTCACCCAGTCTGTTATAATATGACTTGTAGCCTCATTGTCAAGGGATGCTACAATATTTAGTGTACGGTTAAGCTGTAAAAAGAGAAAGTTTGTGACCTGGCTGCCATGTTAAAAAGAGTGGAGCCAAAATGAAGCACCGCCCACTGGCCAGAGCAAATGTTCTCATTTCACAGCTAAACAGTACACCGAAATACATTTCTACAAACATTTCAGGTGAGAAAAAGGTAACACAGTGAATCTTGATTCATATTTGATCAGCACTGCCTACTTTGACAGTTCGACCACACACAAACAGTGATTAAAATGAGCTTGTGATTGGCCAAAGTCCCCCCTTAAGTTTAGATTCTCTACAGCCTGAAAAGCCAAGGGAAGTGCAGAAGTCTAATGTACTCAAAAACACTTAAATTAACATTGGGTCAAAGTTTATTTTGTAATTTTTGCCCAGTGATGCCAAGATTAAACTGCCTACCCCAGCTTTAACCACTGCCCAGCATCTATTATTCCCCTTGATCTGATAAAAGGAGGAACCAAAGTCATTGAGTAATCCAAGTTATCACATATAGTTTGGTGTAGCTACCCAGTACTACATAATGCACTGATACGCTGCTTACATGATGTTGCATCATTGATAATATACTCAATTGATTTTATTTTTTTGTGGTTAAAAGTCTGTAGGACATGTTGTTTATGCACTAAACCGCCCGCCCACAAACTATTACCCACAGGTGACTTAACTTTCCTGTAATGTTGCACAACATGGCAATCTATTGCTGTCAGTGTCGCGCTATTCCAGTTTTACAGCATTTTGCCGTGTCAGCAAACAGATGTCCGCATGTTTTTTTGGAATGTGTCTAAGCAGGTATTTTCTGCAACATGACCAGGCTCTGAGTTTGGTTCAAAGTGTCTAAAAAAATTATTTTTCAGACAGGACTACATCATGTATGTATAATAATGTACCACTCTTAAAGGGGACAGTCTGCTGAGTGCTCAACTTTTGACACTTTAAGTCCGTTTTACTCATATATTAAATATTAAATGCAGTACTTTTACCTCTGATAGAATATTTTTATATTGCGGTACCACTTTACAGTATGTTAAAGGAAATGGCCACTTTAGAATGAAAATACAGACAGTACTTACTCACCCTCGTGCCGACAAGAAGTCCAGTGTAGTTTTTTAATCCACAAAACTCGTTCGAGGTATCGGAGGATAACAGACAGCTGGATTTTTCCGTACACTTGAAGTGCATGGAACCCAACGCGAGACTATCTGATGACTAGTGGTGGTACTAGTTCTCGAGTCTCACGTGAGTTGCCATGTAAACACAGCACTCCTACAGGGCAGGCTAACTGACCAAGGTGAGAAATGATGCTATAAAAGTGGAATCAATTTGGTCTTTTCAAGTCAATTTTGCATGTCGCGGCTTCAGGGCACTTGCATTATGACGAACGAGCCGTTCTGACGTTTTTCCTGAAATGCATTAGTGGAGTTTTGTTACATTTTCAAAATGATTTTGGACTTGGGTTCCATGCACTTCAAGTATATGGAAAAATCTGGCTGTCTGTTATCCTCAGATACCCTGAACGAGTTTTGTGGATTAAAAAACTACACTGGACTTCTTGTCAGCATGAGGGTGAGTAAGTACTGTCTGTATTTTTATTCTAAAGTGGCCATTTCCTTTAAGAAAGGAAATCACATACTTCATACATACCTTCAAATGAAGTATGTAAACAGCATCACTGTTCAATAACTCTAACAGTAGCTAAGTGTCCTATGTGTGCTTAAAGTTAAACACAGCATCACCCTAAGTTTAAAGGAATATTTCACCCACAAAATGACTGTATGACAGTAGGTCATCCTGTTTTACCTTGAATTTGTGAAGAAAACTTTGTTTTTCCCGCATGCCTCCACGGAAAACAGTAAACTTACTGTTTTTTTTGATTGATCGAGGGACCATGTGGAGACCACAGCAGCAAAACTATATCAAAAAATTTGTTTTCAATAGCTTTTACACAACTCATGCAGTATAATCCAAGTCTAATGAGAGCATAGACAAGATTCACTTTCAGTTTGGTCGTAAATAGTAAGGTTTTAGCAAAATTGCATGTGTTTGGGAAGTACTAAGGTACGACTGGATAAATGAGACTTGGACTATACTGCATGAGTTGTGTGAGTTTGTTCACGGATGGTTTGATACAGTTTTGCTATTGTTAAACACGGTCCCCAGTCAATCAATACATTAATATGTCAGCTGTCTTTCCTGAAGGCATGCAAGAAAAAGTTTACTTCATGAAGTCAAGGTGACACAGCATAACTACCGTAAAACGTCAATTAAAATCCTAGTCCCAAGTAAATGCCTGGTCTGGCTGCCAAGTGGTTCATTTTACAGAAATTCTTGGATGTGTAAATCAGGTTGTTGGCTACCTACTCGAGCTATTGTTAGTTAGCTGCTTCGGTCACGCATACAGATATAATCATGGGCACCAAAGAAGACAGTAATTCCTTAAGATTTACCGGCACAGTAAACAAGAGAGACAAAAAAAAAGGTGGTGACTCCCTGCCTCTGACGCTGTCATAAAATCAGAATATGTTTGTCCCTTGATTATTGTATGTTATTCACATTCCTTTAGTCAGTAAGGGTCCACTGAGCAAAACAATCAAGTGTTTCTCATAAAAATTAATCCGGGTGAATATTGTTTTAACAGGATAAATTGGTGTTGTGTTGGTATGCCGGATGCCTAAACCCTCGAATGCTCAGTCTGTAGGAGCGAGATCAAATGACGGATTCATAATCAGTATGTTATCTGAAGCCTAATTTTCATACAAGTAATATTCATACTGGTTTAAATAAACAGTTTGATTGTAGTTCCCATCTTTGCTGAGCAACAGTTTTGTATGAAAGGAATTAAAGGCCTGTCCCAAATATAGGCCTGTTGAGTTCAGTGATAATAGCCCTGGCTATTAATTGAAGTTTTACAGTAACTGATGTATAAATGGTCATTTGGTGGGTGAAGTATTCCTGCTACATGTCTCTTTCTGTCGTACTGCATAACATGGCCCTTCATCGCTGTTACTGTCGTACTATTCCAGTTCTACAGCATTTTTTGCTGTTTCAGCGAACAGATGTTGGCATGTTTTCTTGCTGATGAGTGTTTAAATCTATCCTTTTATTTGTGTAATGTCAAACACAGACTCACTCCTAACTTTAAACTACTTCTTTCCCTGACTCAATCTGCTGACAGTGTCCCAGCATCAAGAATAAGTCAGCTAAAAATACTTTATACTGTCTGTTAAAATTCTTGTTGACAGTCAGGTGATGGTCACCAACAGGCCGTCAGACTCAGGTGATGCTGGAGAGTTTTATGATTCAAGTCATGACAACAGGCAGTGCACTTCAATAACCTTTATTTAGTTTACAGATGTATTCCATTTTGAAGTTTGGAGGGGGGAGAGGGAGCATTAGTGCTATTTACAATTGGTTTGAAAACGTTTATCTCTGTACAGATTTGAACCCTGATCAATATAAACAATATTTTTTTTAAGACCTAGTGCTGTTACAAAGCGATTCTTTTAAAGCAAAAAACCACAAAGAAATTAATAAACAACAAATTATAAACAAATGAAAAAAATAATAAAAGCACAGAAGAAAGAAAATAAAAATACAGTCTGTCGATGATTAGGGAGGTTTTGCTGCTGTTAAGCACAAGACATTGTCAGCGAGTGACTGTGAACTGGCTAGAAGCTAACCGTATACACAATCATAGACTAAACACCAATATACTGTATATCAACAAGATCTAGAGTCAGCATGTTCTATATAAGATTCATATTAAATATATTCTACACGTTACCTTAGTTGGAACATTACTTCCATTGGAAAAATATAAAATAAAACAATAGAACTTTTTATACATTTTTATTAATAATCTGATGAAGGAGCACATGCTTCAGTTGTGCAAAATGGACTTATTAATGCAGAGAGAGAATTAAGGAGAGTAAGAAGCAAATTAAGACAAATAAGGAACATTTTCATTCCGAGTTAATTTCCCTGCTTGGACAGCCATTTGTCAGAGATCCTTCACAACACTTAAAAAACAGGAGCACGACGAGCCTTTCCTCGGAGAGAGGGAGGGATGGTGCATCAGGGAGGGAGGAAAACTGACATGACGTTTTTCTTTTTTTTAATCACAACACTGGTCGGTCAGTAATACGCATGGACTGTCAAAACACAGTCACAAATGTCATGGACAAACAAATAACCAAAACAAAACCACCAACTCTGGTTGTTTGTCTATTTGTTTGTTTGTTAGGCTTTGTTTGGCTAAGAATGTGACGACTGAAAGAGTAGGACGTGTTCGGTCTCTACAGCGCTCCGCAGACAAAACGGGAATCATTTCTCTCCTGTGACCTTTAAGGGCACATGCAGAGAAGGGCAGTAGAAAGGACACAGGTGTGTGTATGTGTGTGTGTGTCCTGGTTTGAGTTCTCTGATCAGGCACATCTAAGCTTCTCCGCTGCACCGAGGGAGATCACACAAGCACATATGGTTGGATGTGTAGACAGGATGTCATAGCGTGTGTGTGTATGTGTGTGTTGGTATGTTGGCGTGTTGTTAGTGGTTAAAATTCTCAGCGGTCTGTATGAGAAAACAAGGCCACACACACAAACTTGGGCACTGCATTACTATGACAACCAGCTAGAATGAGGAGCCAGTTAGAAATGGACTTTAAACAGACCAGCTGAGGATGGCTGGACAAGGTGTGTACGTCTCTTGTATTTGTATGTGTGTGTGTGTGTGTGGGTGTGTGTGTGTGTGTCAGAAGGCTTAAAAAAGTGTGCATTAAGAAAAAAAGAAAAAAACATGCACATCCAGTTCTTTCCACTAATTTTCAGTTATGACAACAAATCAAGTACAACAAAGGAATCAAATCTATCGTTAATCAATTTCCTGCTCCCAGCTCTGTGTCCTGGATCAGCCTGAGCCTGCTGTCTTTCTGTATGTGTGAGAGAGGGAACAAAAAAGAAAAAGAAGAAGTGTGTGTTTGTGTGTGTTCGTCTGTATGCATATCCGCATTGTGGACAGGCTCCAGGACAGGGGACAAGCTCATTAGGTCCAGGATGTTGAGGGCGAGAACGGATGAGAAGGATGGAGGGCCGGCGGCGGTGGTGTGTATTTACAGAATGACACAGCAGTTACTCTCCCCAGTCTTCTCTCTATTCCTCTGACCTGAAATCACACACACACAAACATCATCATCAGGACAAACACAGTCTGACAAGGACATCGTCCAACAAGGTGTAACGCTGGCCAGTTAATACGAGCACACATTCCTGGTAGATTACTTTGAAACGTGAACTCTGTATTTCTACTGTTTACTTGGCGATTGTTGTGAGGGAAGATAAAATAGTTGTAAAATCCTGTCTGATAGTTTTATAAACCACTTGAAGCATTTTTGTGCCTGATAATCCTTCAAAGTCTTTGAACTTTCTGGATTGTATATGAATGATGTCTCAAAGATACTTGAAGCAACACAGCCAGTTTTTTTTGTTGTGGACTAGTCTAACTTATACCAACCTTACACCAAACAACTTTTCAAGAGATTTGACTTGGCAGACAAGCTTCTGATGTCAGAATAAAATCATGAGAGAGCTCTCTCTGTTGGTTGTTGCTCCTATTATCTCACTTGTTAGGTGTACAGAGGTCATAAAACTCCAAGCTGTCTTAAGTCAGTCTTTTTTCTCCTCAACGTTACAACAAATCAAACATGTTTAATATCATCGCAAGTTTTTAATCATGGCTTGTGCGAATACCTAAGTTCAATGACAAAAGCGTTGTCAACGACCAATAGGAGCGCTCTCCAGCATAAAACAAGAAGCAGCAAACTGGGTAGCAAGTAAATATGGACGGGGCTCCGAGGAGGCGCAAGATCCACTTGGTTCTCTTGGACTGTGGAAAAGGAGGAGGAGAAACTGGTAGAGCTGTGGAGTCACCAAGTCAGTGTTTTATTTGTCACCATCCCGCACTTATTTTAGTAGGAAATCTTAATTCATAAAACGATTCACGTCTCATTCCCACAGTCTCCTCACACTAAAATAGTGCAGCTAATCAATGGAGGCTAGTAGCAAGTTAAGGGGATGAAATCCAAATTGTAAAGCTGCATGCAAATAGAGTTTATCTTTATAAATTATATTTGCGTGCAGCTTTAATTGACAAGAACGCTGGCGACATATAACGCCTTTTACCTTGTGTATATTTCATATTTTTTAAAGGGAGTTTGGAGTAATATTTTCCATTGGGAGCAGGATGGGAAATAATCTTAAAAGGTATCAAGTTGTTGTCTTGCAAAAATAACCAGTCTTTGTAAAATCCTAGTCTGTGACTAAATAAACTCACAATCTCTTTATATGTGAGAAGGCGTCAGACTTTAGTCTTTAAAAGGTCTTTTCAGAGTCTCCTCGTGTATGGTAGGCATTAGATACTTTGATTAAAGCAAAGACTGAACACAGGCAATCCAAGCATTAACAGCTTTGTAAACTGACGCCATTATTTATTTTACCTTACCTGGGTGTATTTTACCCAGAGTGCACGGCAAATTGAGGTTAGTCAATAGAGTGCTTTGTGCAACCTTCGATGTCCCTCTGAACTCTATTTGCGAGGTTAAAATCACCCACTGTCTCCTCGTACAATCATTCTCTGCAACACATTTGAAAAGAGGAGACCTGTCCTCTGATATGATTTATATTAAGCTGTATGTTCTTCACATTGTGCTGTATCTTGGGGAGACACTTAAGGGAGCCAATTATTTGCACCAGTGGCTGTTCCTAAAACAGGAGCCATGTGTAGAGATAAATAATGGCTGGGAGCAGAACGTTTAAAAGTTGTTCAGCGTGTGAAAAGGCCGACTGAAAGGAAAGAGGGGCTGGTTACCTTGGGAATTTGGCTCAGGCAAAGTCTCTCTGGCAACTAAATGCATCACTGTGGTCTTCCCCAAGGGCAGTTTGAGAGCTAGCGGAGAGAAGTGAGAGAGAGGGACAGACAGAGAGGGAGAGATGATGCAAAGGTTATTCAGAAAGCTACAGCATGTGTGTCATTGCAAAGTCCTTCACCATCAGTATCATCTTAAACAGCTTTCTGAAATTGTAGAGTAAAGATTATGCTTCACTGGAAAGATGTGAGCTGCTCAGTAAAATAATAATCTCCAGCTGAAGGTGTCATGTTTGACTGTGAGGTCATTTTGCTGCAGAATAAAAACCTCCTACAGGTAAGGGAAGAGCCTGCAATGGCCAAGAACGCAATCCTTTATATAAACCAAATATCTGAACAATGTCAGTTATTTCACAGGATGTGACTGGCTGTTCCTAAAGGCAGCGTTGTAGTCACGACCACCTAAACTGAGTCATGACCAAGACCAGACTGCATCAAGACCAAAGACCAAATCAACACCAAAAGCAGACCAGGGCAGGTCCCACACTGCATAGGTTAAAATGTTAAATCTGTAAACCATAGGCACCCCTCAAACTGATTTAAAAGATCCACATTCCCACAGAAAACAATGAAGATTCCTCTCCATATTCACCTCAGTCATTACCATACTGTAAATACAGTATGTGTAGCCTTACAATGATCAGCCATAACATTCAAACCACTGACAGATGAGGTAAATAACATTGATCATCTTGTTACAATTCAGCTGGAAAACCTTTGGTCCTGGTATTTATGTGGATGCTCCTCGTCACTCTCCATCCACCTACACACTGTTGCAGACTAAGTACCCTCCCTCATGGCAATGGCATTCCACAATGGTAGTGTTAGTGGTAATGGTAGTGCCAAGCTGAAGTATCAACCTCGCCTCAAAATTCCCTAGATCAGTGGTTCCCAGTTGGTGGGTGGTGGTCCAAAAGTGGGTAGTCGTGACTTGTTAAAGTGTCAAGTTTGTAAAAAACACACTTTATTTTCAAGTACAGTGAATTTCAAGCCCAGAGTTTTTATTTTGAAGGGCTATTTCCTGCTGCTGAGCGAGTGACTAACGGACAGCTCCTTCACAGAGACAGCAAACTAGCTTGACAACATGGCCAACCGCAAGTGTGACACTGACCTTGAACTAATGACTAAGCAGAATTCTGGACCCTGCGGCTGCACCAGTTGGGAACCACTACCCTAGATCCTAATTTGACCGAGTATTCGTTGGACGTGGTGGCACCCCAGAGGTACCCCTGTTCCATGGAGGGGCCTCCTTGGATTGCACTTGGCTCTGACCTGTGAGGCCTGAACACAGGACCTCTCAGGGTGTCCTGTGGTGTCTGGGTCCAGGGTGTTGGCAGCAGATCCTTTGACTCCTGTGAGTTGTGAGGCGAGGTACCAGCATGTCCCACAGATGCTTGATCAGATTGGGATCTGAGGAATTTGGAGGCCAGGTTGACACCTTGAGCTCATTGTCTAATTTCGAGGGCCATTCCTGAGCTGTTTTTGCAGAGTGGCATGGCACATTTTCCTTCTTAGAAGGCCACTGCCATCAGGGAGTGCCGTTGCCATGATGTTGTGAGTTCTCTCTGTGAGTCCTCTTTGTCTTTGTCATTCATACACTGGTGGCCGAGGCTAACATACAGGGTGCAACCTGCTATTCAGTTTTTAACACACTCACACACCAATTGAACAGCCATCAGGAGCAATCTGGGGTTCAGTATCTTGCTCAAGGATACTTCGACATGTGCTGATCTTTCAATTGGTGGACCACCCACACTACCTCTCTAAAAAGTGGTCTTGAATCCGCTCTTGAGACCAAGACCTATCTCAAGTATTACAACACTGTTTGAAAGTCAAATGTCTCTTTTTCTCCAATGTAACTGATTTGTAAACTGCTCAATTCACTGATAAAATTACTCATTTGCTCGGAACATTGGTGATTTTATGTATTTGCCATAATGTGATTTACTGTCAATCATCAATATCAGAAAACACCTAGTTCCAACCATATCACCATGTTTTACTTTCAGAACCATTACCACACAAAAATAATGTAATGTCCATGATGTTAACTGTGATTGGTTACCTGTTTAAAGCTATTAAGAAGTCAATTTTTAGTCCGCAAATAATGGAAATCAATGGATGCCAGGAAGAAAGGCAGAATTCTTTCTGTTCATATTTATATGCTTTGCGATAGAACAAGTAACACTCGTCCTATGATATCTGGAAAAAGACCTATTTAATTAAAATCACACACTTAAGAGTAGTTAATATCTTAGTTACGGTATGTGTAACTCTGTAGCTCCCCAAAAACTCAATCACGTCATGTGTTCTTTCACACGTGCACAGTGTCTATGTTTGCATTTCAAAACCACTGAGAGTTTTGGCTCGATTTTAAGAGGATTCTGTGTCAGCATGCAAACACGTTAAACCAGCGATAAGGGAATTATCAGATAGATGACAGTAATGGGATGAGTGTAAAAGGGTTAGGGACGGCCATAACCCCATTAACCACACAAAACACCAGTCAAATCAAAATTGGGTTAAGTAGAGTAAAAAGCCTTAAAGCCAGGGGGAAGTGAAGTGGGCTGCCATCTTCTTTTACTCTCCACTTTTCATTTTCACGCCCCCCCTCCTCCCTTCCTGTCTCTTCTTTGTGCTGCTTGAGGTCTACTCTAACGCCAGTCTTGCCCCTTTCCTGACCAGTCTCTTTCCCCTCTTTTTCTGTATTTCCTCTCTCCTCCCTCTCTCCGTCAAAGCAGGCTTGTCCGGAGCACTGAGGTACCTCTGTTCTGCGGCTCAGGAAAGAGATGAGAACAGCAAAGAACTTTCCAGCAACACACTGCTGTGATTTTGTGTGCATGTCTATGAGCACATGAGGGTTTATTCTTTAGGGAGGTGTACACTCCATGTTTTCTCACCTCCTAGTGTTACGTTGCCGTGTAGAAACCGGCCCTGGTAGATCAGCCTCAGGATGTTAGGACTGCTGACCTGCTCTTCCTCCCAGTCTGAAAGAAAAAAGGAGCAGAGGCAGATGGAAAGAGAGAGTTAAAGAGAGAGGCATGTGTTTTCCCTTCCCTGCTTTTCTCCTTTTTGTTTTGTTCCTGATTGTCATTAAAATTGTATTCTTTTGTAAATAACATTATCTTACCTTTCTTCAATAAAAGCCATGTTCGGCATCATTATATAATCTTCAAACTGGAAACATGCAGGTTCAATAATGACATTTCACGACCACTTTACTGCTACCTGAAGTTGATTATACTTTAAAAACACAATAAACAGCCAGTGTCTTATCGGGCACTGCTAGTAAAGGTTCCCAAACTCCAGCAATTTAGAGAAGTACACAAAGAATTCAATTGTTACGGGGCTCTGAATAAATTCAGTAAAGCAGATTAAATGAAAAAAGTTTGAATCTTAAAGGGACAGTTCACTCCAAAATCAAAAATACACATATTTCCTCTTACCTGTACGAACCAGATTGTTCTGGTGTGAGTTGCTGAATGTTGGAGATATCGGTCGTAGAGTTGGAGCTATTTTCTTCCTACCAAGCTACACTTGTCAACTGACTGTGCAATAAGCTAGCTAACGTTACAGCTTAGCCATGAAGGACGCCATAACAAGCACAAGCCTCTCGTTCATGAGTCGATGCACACTGCATCCTGCACTGCCAAATAGTTGGTGGGTGTAGTAGGGTAGAGTGAAAATAGTTCCTACATGAAACTGCTGTGGATTATCTTGAGCAACCAGGTCATGATTTCTGGAAAGAGACATTGCTGTTGAGTTTTTCAAATGTATTTTTGTGGCGCTTTGAGCACTATAAGCCGAGTGCCATCCAGTCCCATTATATTTGAGAGAAAGCAGACATCACTACAGCCAATATCTCCAACACTCTGCAACTCACACCAAAACAATCTTTGATAAACAGCACTCGAGGTAAAGGAATAATATGTATTTGTGATTTTGGGTTGCACTGTCCCTTTAAACTACAATGTTAGCCATGTCTTACAGTATGAAATACTGTAAACAGTGAAGCAAAAAGAAATGAGTCATTGCATGGTGAAAAACAAAGACCACCAACAACCGCACTGTGGATATTTTAAGACGTTTAGGGCCTTTATTTCAGATCATTATATACAGAATGTATAATATGTGGGCTCTGCGGGATGCACTACAGAATGTGAGAAAGCAGGAAAGCAAGAGAAGAACACGAGGTGTGGCTTGGGAAGAACTGCAGACAAAAGTGAAGGCATTAAATGAGAGAGAAAACGGCGGGGGAGTTGCACGGCAGTGGCGTCTGGCCACCAGATGTTTGTCTCCAGCTTAGCGGAGGGTGTTGGTGCTGACTGAGTGCCTGCTCTGGGTCTCACAGGGTTCAGATCTGTTGTCCGGGAGGAACACTGGGCGCTTCCAAAACTTAACAGGACTGAAAGGGAAACTGTTTTTGTCAAGGCGAATCTGAATCTGTCAGTAAAATTTATAGTTTCTCATGCACTGAGGGCTTCTCCAGAGCTGGACTGCACTGTGGGAAAGGTGTTCACATCTCAAGGTGTTGCAAGTTCGGCAGTGAATTCTGACACGGGTGTTGCAGCACTGAGGGAGTGGGTGTATTACAAAAAGGAGGTGGCTGCACTGCGATCCCACATTCCTGTACGCAATGATAATCAGGCTGAGAGGAGGGGTGCACTCTAATTACCCTACACCAAAGATTGGCACGTTCCTGCACTGCTATATAGACCTACATGTAAGTAATTAGCAGTGGGTTTAAATGTGATCTCAGCTCTCTGGGTACACACTGTGACTCCTCAGCTGCTTTTTTATCTTTGTTATAGAAAATACAGCCAAGATAAGTCTGATCATATGGGTTTAAAGTGCATTAGCAGCTAAAATGTTAGCAATTGCAGCTTAAGCAAACACCCTGCAGCTGTGCTTATGCAATAACGTGATTTATCACAAAATATCACAATATGGCTCTGTAGCATATGTGCAGGAATGTGGGAAAATAGCAAATGCCCCAGCATGTTAACCTAAACCCCACATCCCAAAATCTGATCAGCAGTCAGTTGAAACAGCTTTGGAAAATCCAAATAGTGAGACAGTGAATTTGTAGATGGTGGTGCCAAAAAGTAGGCCTATGGGATTTGAGTAAAAATCAAGGAATAGTGAAAAAGTCACACATGTCTGAGTGAAGAAAAAGAAATGTCTGGGTCACCTTGAGACTACAAATACTTATGTAGCCACTAGACGTAACTACATCTTCATCAACCACTGGTGCCAGGTCACTCAGGGATCAATGTAGCTACTCACCCATCGGCCAGTTGTCATAAACATGTTTGGCGATGTCCGCTGCAGAGTCGTTCGGAGAGAAGAGGAACTCTTTCGTCTTCCCACTGACTAAAATAAGCCGCAGGTTTATCTGCAACACAGATTTTAAAAAAAAGATAGGGACATTAGGATTGTATGTAAGAAACATCACTGGACACATCAACACAAGCTTCAGTCCCATATGTCACATAAAACACAGTCAAATCAGGAAGCACACACGTTCGACTGAAGTACTTTAATAGGAAACAGGAGAAGGATGTGAGGACCCTGAGGAGTGTCCTTCCGCAGGATTAACTCCCATCTGTCTCTCCAACTTCCTTTTTCTCTCATCCCTTTGAACTCCCTGTCTCTTTGTCTTTGGTTCACGATTCTGTCACTTCTGGCAGTTTGTCACCTTCTCACCTTTTACCACTTGCAAGCCAGATATTTTGCTTTGACTTGTTCCTTTAGAGATGAAACCCATATATATGATTGTTTGAACATATTTATTATTATATTGCATTCCTCAAGAGGGACCACTGCCTTTTTCCAAATACATTTCCACTGCAATTGCTATGTTACTGCTTTTTAAGTTTAATTTTCCTGGGTAAGGACTACACTATTAAAACCCACTGTCTTGCAGACACAAGATACATTTTTTTGTTATTATTTATGAATGAGACTGTGGGTATCTTTGTAATATCAATAAAACCAAACTTGGCTCTCTCTGTGTGAAACTGCCCACAAAACACAAACAATTAGCTGGAATACAAAAGGCTGTTAAAACATGCAACCTGCCCCGGATAGCTTATCCCACTAGTCGGTGGTGACAGCCAAGTATAGTAATAATCATAAATGACTAATAGTGTCAGACTCTTCTTAACAGTGTGCAAGTTCCCTTTCCTGTCAACTACTGAGCAACACCTCTACAGCACGTAGAGAACTGTCATTAAAAGGTCTACTGTGTGATATCTAAGGTGGGGACAGACCTTAAAATTATTCACATAACTGAAACCTTATAATAATTATAGCCATAATATTTTCACCATTATACACACATTTCTTTTGCACAGAAAGTCAGAAAAAAGCACGCACTAAACAATAGGGAAAATACAGATGACAACAACCATATAGGCCATGAAATCCAGATAAAACAAACTGTCATACATTACTGTACCAAAACAGAAATTGAGACGCATCAAAAACTGTCTGCATTTCTACTTTATGCTACATTTTTGCACAGAAAACTTGCTCAAAAATGCTCATTTAAAATGACATACTGCATGCCGAGACAAGGCCAGTAAGGGCTATAAACTATTCAATAAGAGTTGGAGGTGAGTGAACTTCAGCTGAGCAGTGGCTGCATACTGAGAACCGTTTCTCTCTGTTTTCTGGCAGGTATTTTATTATTTCTAAAATACTGTGAATGAATGATGAGCAAAAACTTGATCAATAAAAAACAAACACTGCATGAGAATCAACACCATCTGACTATTTCAAAATTCACAATCACTTTTGACGTCCAAAATGTGCCCCCGCCTTTACTCACTGTGATTCCCTCCAAGTCTAAAATGTCATTTTAAACTCGCCAACCAGGGATATCAACTGTTAGCTGTTAATTGTTAGGGGCGCTGTAGCAACCCATGATGGCAGGATGGTGTTGCTGTGGATATGTTGTGCCCACTAGAGTGTGGATACCTGACCCGAGCCTGACGGGATAACAAATCAGAAACTTTGCTTAGGTTTAGTTCAGTATCGGCCAACTTGACATGCTGCTGTGTTGTGCTATGGCCTATTCAAGTGCTGGAATTCGTTATTTACGTGACAACGCCTGATTGCAACATAACGCAATAACTATGTCAGGGAACAAACTTCTGCTTCTGGCTCGGGTCAGGTTTGGACTTAAAAATCAGAAAGTCTGTCAGGGTCGTGCCAGGCTTTTTTATATCTGAATCAGACTAGGGTTAGGGTTCGGTCAGGAACCCCCAGGCCACAAATCCCTTTAGCGTCCTTAACAACAATTTGGCACGGTTAACCCCACTAGCAGTGTCAGCACAGCCAGTGGAGTTAACATAGTTGACAATGCTAACGGGGTTTTGTAGTTCAAAATGAGGCTGCTTACTCACTGGGGCTACCTGCGGGGAGACCGGAGGATAGGCACAATGTTTCGGCTGCAACACCATCCTGCCATCATGGGTCGTGATGGCACCGCTAACAATCAATGGTTAACCATCAATATCCCCAGTGGTAATTGCAGAATGAGCAGCGCTGCAAGTTAGCTCCTACTGTCCCGACAGGTGTGTAGTGCAGAATGGTCGAGGCTAGCTGACCAGTGGAGACCGGAGAGTGGGCAGTGGGCACTATGTTTCCACCGCTAACCGGCTGTCTTGTCAGCAAAGCCAACAGAAGATTAAAAAAAGGCAAGACTTTTAAAATACAAAACATTAAAATTTAGCTAGCTGTCAGTTAATGGGTGTCGGGCTATCAAAGCAACATTAACTAAAATTGACATCCCTAATATTAACAAATAATAAGTGCAACTTCGCTGGAAATAATCACACTAAAAAAGAAAGGCCCAGATGTGTGTTGCTAAGCGTCACATCTCTTTGTGCATTTCTCACCTTAAATCACCCAAATATAGAAGTGAGCGCAGTGTGTAGTTTTGTATTTAAAACCATTAATTTGCACACCAATTGCCTGTCATTAGGGTGCAAATTAGAGGTTATCTCTTAACTGGCATGGTGTGTGTTTAGCAGTGGTGCAGTGTGCCTTTAAGAGCCAGTGCAAAGGTCTGTGGTGTGTGTTTGACTTTGCTTTCTATATTTGTGTGTCTGGCCTGCAGTGCATGCATGGCACAAGCACGTGCGTGTCATTGTTAGTGTGTTTCCATGTGCCGGGCGTCTCTTAGCCCACTATTTCCTCCCCACTGCCCACCAAACCCACTCCGCTGAGCCACACACACACACACACATAAGCATACACACATGCTCACACACAGAGCCGGCTGCAGTGATGTAACAGAGCTAACACCAACGGATTGAAACAGAGATCTCTGTAAGCACGTTATCAAATCAGCTCATAGGTTTAAGAATGAAAGACTCATACAGAGACATACATCCTCTCACACACACACACACACACACACACACACACACACACACACACACACAAACAAACAACAGCACATACAGCGATAATCAGAAAAAAAGTCGCATTTGACCTCAATATTGACCCCACAAACATTCATATACACGAGTAAAGCTGTGTCTTGGAGATTGCATGAGCTTGACAGTTTTGAGCTTTGGGTCCACAGGGGAAAGTTGCAACTCTACAAATGGGACACAGATCATAAAGCAGGAACTGGCAGAATGCTGGTGAGTGATTGGCTGAATGGGAAATGTAACTTATGACAGTCTTTTACGAATAAACAACCCCGCACGACAAACAATACCTGAGAGTGACTCTGAATGAGACAGAGGAAGACAGAAATAATGAAGAGGAAACGCACAGAGGACGTCCCTTTATGTGAGCAAGGTCTCGCTCCATCCTGGTTTAACACCTGGTCGTTACCATGGTGTCACCATGGTGACAGCCAGTGGTGGGTGGCTTAACCTGATAACACCTACAGGATAGCTTCTCCCCCTCCTCCTGCCCATTTCCTACAGTGTCACATCATATTGTCTTCCTCTCCATGCAGCAATCACTGCATCCCCCTCTCTCCATCTCCCTCCTTCGCTCTGTCTGTTTCCCTCTTGTCTTTCTCCCCCACTCTGTCAATCTCCTGCTCTGCACAGCGTACAGTGGAGGAATGTACAAGGCCCGAATAACAAGAGACAACGCGCTAGCTTCAATTAAACAACACAGAATCAGCCTTTCTCCTCTTATCATCAACCTGCACAACTTTCAGTCTCTTTATTTGCTGCTCTCTGCCGTCTTTTGCTTCCTCTATTCTTGCAGCTGATTTTTTTCCTAGAGACAGATGACAAATCGAAAGAAAAACCTAAGTAGAAAAATACATAATAGATGCAGATGCTTCCATACAAAGGTCACTGTATGGCTTGACGAGGATTAAAGTGAAATGCTACGGCCTTTACAGTCACCAGATTGGACACCTCCGGGAGATAACCAGCGTTCTCCCCCATCATCAAAACCTCTAGTGGAGCTAAGGGACATGAAGGATCATTGCCAAATAACACTGAATCTGTTCTGGTAGCTCACAGTGGGGAAGTTTCCTTCCATTTATCACCTATCTGTATCTCCACAGGTGAGCTTATGACATCCTTTTTTCTTTTTCCACCTTTTATTTTGATCCAGATTTTAACTGAATCAAGGTCTCACCTCCTCCATCCTCTTTTCCCTCTCCCTACCCCCTCTCCCCGAGGGTCCCTGTGCCTTCTCTGTGGACTCTCCTCTACACAGGGGCTGATAATGAGGTTTCACAGCCAGCTCAGGGAAGTATATTCAATTACCATCTATTCTCTGGAACAAATACAACAGCTCCAGGTACGGGGGAGAGCTGTGTTTCATGCAATTATGCATAAACATAAATATACAGTACGTACACATATCTGCAGGCAGTCAGTTACTCATGCGTACAAACAGCTTGCAACCAGCCTCACTGTAAGCTCGTGATGCCAGAAATCAGCTGTATGAAGGCTTCACCAGCTTGCACAGCTCATGGAGAACTGGAAGACAGCGAGTATTTCACTCCCCCAATGTGAGTATGTGAGAGTATTTGAAATGCTGAGGCATCCTGGTGCAGTCGCTTCTATTCCTGTCCACTTCTGGAAAGAAATAAAATAAAGAAACAGGCTACTTGTGCATGAAAGTGGTGACACAGCTCCCTGCTTGTCAAGTCTCCACTGCAGACATTTCAGACACAGTACAATAATGTGACTCTGCTGCCAAGTAGTGCCATGGTGTAAACATGTGAAGTAAGCAAAGCCTCTTGGCTAAACACTGTTTGCACACGGTGGAGAGCAGGAAATTCAATGCCATCTATAATTATTCCTCCCTGAGTACCGCTCTCAACTCTTTCTCAAGGCAATGGTGTATGCATGTGTGTGTGTGTGTGTGTGTGTATGTGTGTGCTTGTGTTTATAAGTGCATTAA